GGTTTCTGCAACTTCATTAAGAAACCGGTATTGTGTTTTGAGCCATAATTTTGGTGTAACTGTTGGTCAGGAAGTAGTCACGATTCTGCATGTGAACCCCATTCAGGTGTACAGAGATTGCACCCAGCCATTAGTAATGTGAAATTCAAGGTATTGGCCATATTTTGCCAGATCGCTCTTGATCAGACCCATCAGTACACCATACAAAACGTGTCTGTTTATGGTACCAACAGCAGTTCTTAAGTTTATAATAAATGAGCAAAGCTTGAAATCCAGCTCATCTGGTAACAAAAGTGGCCTTCTGTGCTTCATTCCGATTTGCACATCTTGTGGTGCAATTTGCGGTGTGTTCTTTAACTGTGACACGTACTTAGTAAGCCAGCCACGGACAGTACTTTCCGTTAACTTGGGAAATTCTTTCTTAAATCTGTTCACGGCATTCGTTGTTGCGCAGTGATTGGCATATTTGGCAATCTTGCATTTATCTTCTTCCTTGTAGGTGACTCTCTTGCACTTGCAGTTGATACTCGCAGCATTGTTGATTTCCAAGGTCACATTAGACTGCTCTTCACTGGAAAGTCCAGTTGCATTTGTTGATGGAAGCCAAAAATTCATAGCTGAGCTTTCATTAGAAATGGATGCTTTCTGGAAATATTGTAACAAAGACATTACCAGTACTACCTTGTTGTTGATTGGTTGATTGGGCACATGAAGCAGATTGAATTGAAACATGAACTGTGTTGACAGCGGTACGCTAACAATGAATGCTTTCTTTATTGAGACCTCACACCTTGCTGTCACGCTTGGAATACCAAGTAGTTTTCAGTGCAGGAAAGATGGCAGATGCAATACAGTCATTTGAATTTACAACTGGATTACTTGGTTTTCATATGTATTCAACAACAAAGCATTGGAAGCCCTATCTACAGCAGAAGATAACATTTAAAAGAGAGCACAACAATATTTATGATTGCTTTGCAGTGTCAGGATTGGTGGAGTTGCGAGGAACATTGGCGCCTGTTGTTGTTGGTCATGTACCAAATGAACTGAGCCATTACATGTGGTATGCTTTGGAACAAAGAGCCAAATTTATAGGAAAAGTTATTTCAGTGAAGCCGAAAAGATCGCCACTAATTCAAGGAGGCCTTGAAATACCAATGGTTATTTCTTTCCTGTAGAGCAATGCGAGAAGTCTGGCGATTTTGAAGGAGAGAACAGAGGAAGTTTCATACTCTGTCAAGAAAGACTATGTTGACGATTGAAAACCTATCTTGGCCGAAATCAAAGGAGAAGATATTGACATCACTTCTGAGAGTGACACCAATGAAGATGAACGCGAAATATTGTAAACCTTCGCCTTAGCTTTTGTGAAAGATGAAAAATAAAGGGTAAATGGAAAGAAAGAAAGCTTGTAGTTAATGTTTTTTAACTGTCAAGAATGTCTGGATAGGTTCCAAAATTGGGGTTAAAATACTGGAAACTAAGAGCGTGGAAATTAACGCTACACTTAATTAACGTTGCAGAAATTAACGTCGCAGAAATTAACGCTCAACAAAAATGCCAGGACTTAAATTAATGAATGTGAATTTTAACAATTCACATTAAATTCATGCAGCGTTAATTTCCTATAATAAGGTGCATTGCATATGTAGGCTATGATGATACACTACCAAACCGAAGAACAGTTAATGAAATGATTATGATCAAACCTCCACAGTAACCACTTTGAGGACCAAAGTGAAAATTATATCACAGAATGTTGGCTGCAACTTAAAACATGATATCTGTCACAACTAATTACTTTAAATATTTTTGAAGTACTCAAATTGTTGTCTAACCTGTCAGATTCTGCTTGAAATAATGGTCTTTCATCAGAGTTCATATTATTCTTTAAAGAACCATTTTTTACTGAGGATTTCCTTGATAACAAAATGCATACTTCAATTCAGTGTTAGGGCAAGATTATCATTTTACATACTAAATGTGTCAATTTTATTTTCTTAAGCTCTTGTTTTTACTCGTCCAGGAAAAAGAGTAATAAAATACTATCTGGTAAAATTGTATTACCCATTTTTTAGGAGTGTCCCATTTGAACCATTAAGTGCCTTACGCGACTTTTGAAGCTGTTCTTCTGTAGGGGATACACAGAAAAATGAAAAAATGTTAAAGAATAAACAGGGTTTACATATACATTGTAGGCAAGTCTATCTATGTGAAAGGAAGGAGAGAAGCCACTAACAGCTCAACTTCATGTCAGAGGGGGCACTCTTTGAATTTCTCAATGGGTATGTGCAACTTTAATGGTGAAATCATTAGTTCATCCTATCACCTAACCCACAGGTAAAGAGAAAGCTTGAACAACAAAGGAGAGTAGGACTGACCGTAAACAAAATGGGGAAGAAATAAACAAGCTTAATAGAGGGGTTTGAAAAGTAAATAGGAAACATGCGGTAGCTCTACATTCAGAGAGGTAATCTATAGATGATAAATTAACATTGCTATGAGAATCCTGTGTGAGAATCAGTCAGTATTCCGCGAGATACTACTTGTTCTTACCAAGCCTTTTCTGTAGTGGCGATGGCTTTATAAGTCTTGAAAGCCGAACATCTTCCTTTGTTATAACCTGATCACGCAAATAATACAAAAGTACGTAAAAATGGATGATTAGCAATGGTAAGAGAAATATCAAGTCAACTCTCCCTGGTCACAAGATTAAATGACAACAAAGGACAAAGTGCACGGTCAGGCGCAGTCGGAGAACCAGTAGAAAAGTGTCGTACATAGCCTGCGTAGGCTGTTAAACAACGGTGATTTCCATTTACCTTGGAATCCTTTTCGTCGTCTTCCAAAGATAAAGACTCTCCGTAACCTTCCCTGGACATTTAAATAATGCTTCACAACTAAATTCGAGTCATATCCGTTAAATAATATCACTCTCCCCGTATTTTACACCGGAAACTCTTCTTGAACCTCACTTGAAAGACATCATGGGATTTTAGTATCGTTAATATTGAGCCCCGAGTCTTTTCGGCTCGCTGTCGCCCAAGCTTTCTCGATCTGGTTTTTTCTGAGATGGCGGCCAGTTTTTTGTTTTTGAGGTGACCGCCGGTCGGGGAGGGTCACGAGTGTAAGGAAACTTCTTATATTGCGCTCTAAAACAAAAAAATTGTGTTTTTATAACACGAATCTTCTTTCGAGTCAGTCTTTAAAAACGGGAATGGTGTTGCTTGGGTCCCTTATTTTTACCAAATTAGCGCTATATTCAATCCGTGAGACCTGAAAGTTGAACTAAATTCAGGTCCTGAGGACCGAAAATTCCTAAGAATAGAACTGCTTGGGTACAACAAAAGGCCTACTGTGGGTTGCTGAGACTCGAACCTGAGAACCAGCCGACGACCCCGCCGTCATCGGTGGGTACGTCATTGGGACATAAAAATTCTCCATACATGACATACCTACGCTGCCATCTTGAAAACTGAGTGAGAAACCCCTGGTATTCTTATCGCAGGCTCATGTCACTTTGTTAGTTTCAAGATGGCGACCGGAAGGAGTCTCCCTGTTATTTTGAAAAAGTTCAATCAGAGTCTCGATCCTGGAGGACTTAAGGAGGTCCAGGTCTCAAAGAAATTTCGTGTGCTGGCAGCTCTGGGTGATGACTCGACGTTGAGGCTGTGGAACGTTAAGAATGATGTAAACTTTACTCTCGCAGATGTGACACAGTAAGTAACATAAAACTTGAAGAACAGTCATGTGATATAGTTGGACATTTCTATTTTTTCTTTGTGATTTTTTTTACTTCTGGTCTGTTAAGTTAGCTTGGTGTGATCTAGTTCAGATGCGATCTTGTTTCGAAATGTTTTGATTTCCAGGAATGATCAACAGTGCTTGTTGTCATAATTATTTTTTATTAGTCAGGGTCGGAAAATAATATTTGCGACCAAGTGGTCGCCAATGCAAGTGAAAGGAGTTTTGGCAGCGAGCATTTTAAATCTGGCGCCAGAAGGAGACCAACTTGGTGTCTTGTGAATGCTCTAGGCCTGTGCTCTAATATTAGCTACTGAGCTCAGGAAATTTATTTTATGTTATTTGATGTTATTTCCCAACCTTTCTTTACTTAGTCTTTCAGAGTGTTAATGTTTTAAAAATCAATAAACATGAAATGCAAAATATTATTTCTTACCAATTTTATACCTCACTCTTACTATAGATTTAAGTGGAGTTCTTGTAGTGACTGCCAGAATAGAGAAAATTTGGTGGAAGACTGTTTTGTTGTAATGAAGATTGATGGAAGTATAGAGTTATATACTCTTTCCAATGCATTTGAAGATTTCTCTAGCACCTGCAATGCTATGGTAACTCAAGAGCTATTAAAGGGCTTACTAAATGATAGAGGCAAAGGTCAGAAAATTTTCAACTTTGTTATTACTTAAAGTAACACTTAGCATATTTTGTCTGTGAGGGTTTAAAACATTGGCCCAAACTATGGGCATTCAGAAAAAAAGGGGGAGCCTTCTAGAATAAGAGGGAATTGGAGGTCAACTTACTCATGATGGCTTCTATTTTACTTTCATGAGGATTTTTTTTGTATTTGATTTTGGGCTTCTAAAATTTCTGTATGCATCTCATATCCACTATCACTTCCAATCACACTTTCTTACTCATACGATCATGTTCAGTTAAATCTCTCCTTTGTGTAGCTGAAATAGAAGTTACAAATACCATAGATGGTAGACCTCATAGACATGTGTTACAAAAAAGCCAGAGCAGGATTATGAATGTATCTTGTAAAAACAACTTCAGGGTTATGACAAATGTAAAGTGCACCTAAACCCCAAAATTTTTTTTCGCTTAATGAAATAAGCTTATTTTTTGGAGTATTTCTGTGCAAAAATTTTTTAATTTTCTCAAATCTTTAATTTTCTGTGCCCAGTCAAAATAAGGAAAATCGGCCGCCATCTTGGCCCACGGCCCAGTTTAAAGAGGAATGGCTCTAGCGGGTAATGTGACCTGAAATCCAGAACAGGAAAGTCTGCATTTCACACATTTTCACTTGTTTGGGAAGGTTGTCGCCGATATTGTCCGAAATATGCTGACTAGGTGTGTTGTATGAGGAATGTATGAAGCGCCATACCCTCTTGCAAATTTTGCACGTTGCTAATCTTTCCAATGCATTTGAAGATTTCTCTAGCACCTACAATGCTATGGTAACTTAAGAGCTATTAAAGGGCTTACTGGGCACAGAAAATTGAAGATTTGAGCAAATAAAAAAATTTTTGCACAGAAATACTCCAAAAAATAAGCTTATTTCGTTAAGTGAAAAAAAATTTTTGGGTTTAGGTGCACTTTAAGAAAACATCACAACAGTAATATGTGACATCTCATGTCAGGAAAAACTGATTTGAATGCTCTATTACTCTTAGCTATTTTGTTTTGAAAAAGACAATTTCAAGAGAGTACATCTTTTTATCTTCATATGAAAGTTGTTTTAGCTCAATGCTTGTGTCTGAATGATTTCAGAAATAGGAAGTCTTACTGGTAAGAAAACTGAAAACAAGCATACTCAATAATCAGTCATCAATCACTCCTCTTGTCTGAATGTTTTCAAGTGGTTTTGTATCTGGAGGGTCTTTTGATGTCTTTGTGTGGATATATTTAGATTTAGATAAGTAAACAATTGTTGTTTTGATTTGAATAGTTCCAAGTTAACTGTTTGCATTTTTTCCTTTCAGAATGGCATGGCGGTGAGGTAAATCTTATTGCACTCAACAGGAGTTCCGAGTCTTCCAAATATGAAGTCACCATTCTAGTGGATGCAGTGCTGACAACACTGTCTATGGGGCAAAACACTGCAGCAGATTTGTCAGTTTACTTTGAAGTGTCAAATACAGCTGTGAACAAGGAGAATGAACCCTCAGGTCCAATTACAGCTGTCAGGAGGCTTCATAAGTTTATCTTTACATTGATGTCAAATGGTATTGTGTGTATCCTTTTTCTGTGATCTGAATTGTTGCAAATAATATTATATGGCAAAGTATGTATGTATTTACTACATCAACCAAATTATGGACCACCCATATGTATCTGCTCCATGTGCCACTTCTATGGATCCCCCTATATTTTGGAAGCAATTATTTTAATGACTCAGTCTGCAGCCACAAGTCAAGAGTTCTTTCCTGATATACTTGGGGAACATATTTAGTGGGTATTGTTCAGCTTTAAATAAAAACAATGGCTCCTTAGTTGATTGGTTGATATAAGAGTGTGCTAGAGGCAACTGCATTATTTTACATTGTTCTTTTCTGTACCAATTTTTTGGAGTGTTTTAGTGATCGAGTTTCTCAATAGGAAGGCTGTTCAAGCAAACCCATCTACATTCCCTCACTTATGCCATCAGCAATGTATATGTTGTAGTTCAATTTTATACTTGCTTCAAATTTTATTTTCCTCTGTTTTTGGTCGTGTTAATGTATGATAATGAGTTTCAAACAAAGGAAAATGGAATTTGAACCAAGGCTAAAATTGAACTACAACATATATTTTCAGACGAAAACTAGTGAAACCTTTATTTGGTATGAACAACTTTTATTTGGTATGAACAACTCTCCCGCCGTCATCTGCGAACAAAACCTTGAGTACTTTAATTTGCTGTTGTGTTATACTGGTGCAGCAAGTCAAAATTAACTTTTATGGGTTACCACAAACTGCCAATAGCTGCGATTCGATGGGGAAAGAGAGATAATACAACGTTAGCTGTTCCTGGGCATGACCCACCATTTGAAATTACTCTCTTTAATGATGACATTGCTCTTAGTCCTGGACCAGCTACAAACATTATAAATTGGGTTCCACCTGTACATCAAGTCATGATTGAACATCGCTCTGAAAACCTGCCCAGAGCACCGATACTAACGTATTCTCGACAACAACTCATGAATTTGAGACAACAATGCTGTTTTCCCTCTTCAAAAGCTATCACTCTTTGAAACAATGCAGTATTTTTAAGTTTAGAGGACGAAGAGGAGGATGATATAGAAAAATTCAGTGCCATTATGCAAATTTTCCAGTTTGCCCAAGACCATTGTTTCACCGAGCCGTGAATCCAGACAACTTAGCACCTATCAAGAAAGCTCCCTCACAGGCATCAACATCTACATCGCATCTCATTAACTTCTGTCTATTGAATACTAGGTCAGTGAAAAACAAGATAATGAAGGTGAAAGACTTTGTCGTTGACCATGATATTGATATCTTGGCAATAACTGAAACTTGGCTTCAACCAGGAAACATTGATGAAGTAGATATTGGTACTCTATGTCCCACTGGTTACTGATTTTTTCATGTTCCGAGATCATATTCCCTCGGCGGCAAAGTTGGCTTATTATTCAAAGAAACAATAAATGTAAACAGCCAGATCACTGACACCTTTGAATCTTTTGAATACATGGATGCTTGTCTTTGTTGTCTACAAGGTATTAGGATTCTTGTGATTTATCACCCTCCTGGCCATTCATCCTATGATTTATTTTATGAAGAGTTTTCAAAACTCATTGAACAAACGGCTGTTTCACCTGGAGGCTTGCTAATTGTGGGTGACTTTAACCTACATGTGGATGACGGCGATAATTTTCAAGCTAGAAGGTTCGTAGATATTCTGGGGTTCTACAATCTCAGGCAACATGTCACCAGAGCCACTCATATTAGGCGTCATACTCTCAATCTTGGGATTACCAAATCAAATGATGCATTTCTGACTGGTAGTTCAATTTTTGATCCAGTGATCTCAAACCATTCTGCTGTAAAAATTAATCTGCTGCTACAGAAACCTCGGTTCAGAAACCTCAGTTTTTTTATATATAAATAAGATCAAACCTGAACTTAACAAACAATTACTAACAACATTATAACACTTTTCTAGCGTTTTAGTTCACACCTTTGATGTTTGGTGTCATGCTGTAATTTGTACCCCCTTTTGTATTACATCATACTGTAAATATTTTATTCATCTACTTGTCTGTTATATAATTACTTGTGTTTTGTTACTCATTGATTGAAGATGGCATAAGCATGCCAAAACATGTCTCTCAAAAAAGTTGTCTATTTCTTACAAAACTAGGAACTATCGAAAACTATGCTCAATTGATTATGATGCCCTCTGTGATGACATTAATAATTCTACTTTAATTAAAGAACCGTCTTTTCACTTAGACATCTTGGTTTATCAATATGATAACGTGCTGCGCTCATTGTTAGACCGACATGCACCTATCAAGTAATGTGTGATTACAGTTCGTCCATCAGCATCCTGGTATTCAACTGAGATTGCTCAAAATAAATATGTTAGAAGAAAACTAGAAAGAAAGTGGCCTCCTACCCTACTTCCAAGTGATCGTGAACGATACGTTCACCAATGAAGTGTTGTTAACAATTTATTTGACTCAGCAAAATTATCTTATTACACCACCATTATCAGTGATTTCTCAGGTGATCAGAGGATGTTATTTAAAACTGTTAACAAATTATCAGAAACAGACTGTGCAACAATATCCTTCCTGTTTTCCTGATTCCACCAGCCTTGCAGATGCATTCAACAATTTTTTCATCAGTAAAATTGACAAGATACACAATGCATTTACAGAGAGAGTTCCTGAGAATGACCTCAGTTCATCTCATACTATTGACAGACCTCTGTGCGATGTGCAGATTCACAACTTTATCATTCAATGG